ATATATAAAAAATAATTCAAAATAAAAGCGAATGCCAAGAGGTTTCAATCTTCCAAATCGTACTGAATTTAATTACGAGGAAAGATTTTCGATATTTTTAGAATTTCCACAATTATCGAGAAAGGAAGTGTCATGATGTAAAATCATCTTTAAAAACACGAACTTTTGACTGTTGAAATAGAAGCTTCGATCGTCGTGTGACCTTTCTTTCATACAAAATTATATTAATTCAGATTGTCGGCAATTTTCATTGTCATTAATTTAAAGAGAAATTAATTTTCCACGGAGAAAAAAATCTCTAGGACTCCAAGTCGTACCAAGTTACGAGTCGTTCGTTTTCAACTCGCAGTGGAAGGGTTAATGAATTAATAGACACATAGCGAAGGAAGGGGGAAAAAAATGGGGGAGACTATGGTTCCGCGTAGTCAATACTTGGCCCGTTTACGCACGAGCATTCGCGTTGCCCGGTGGCCCATTCAAGTCTCGTTACGCTAACCATTCACTCGTTAACTCACTCATTCTTTTTCTCTCTCTTTCTCTCGGTCATTAATACGCGATGCATTACGAGGGCATTAAGTCGAGTGCGAATTCTCCGAATGCTTGCTGCTGATGCAAGTAAGTAATTCGCGATCTTTCTCACTTGAAGATCGGCGTGTCGAGTGAAAGTGAAGTAAAAAGAAAGAGGAAAGAGAAAAGAAAAGGTGAGAAACTCGTTCTGGCGAGTACAGGATTACTTTGCGAGGCTGAAATAAAATAATTCCGTCCGAATGTTTGAGAAAGTTTAAATGCACGAACGGGTGCATTTAATGATTTTTTTTTTTTTTTGTTAAATTTTCCAACAGACTCTTCGTCGCTGCGATCGATTTCAAGTTGTCTCTCGGTGCTTGGAAACGGTATAATCAAAGCGATTCGTTGTCCCTTTCGAAACACATTTGAAGATAAGAACCGCGGCTTCTTTTCAATTCAATTTAAATTCGTTCGTTATCGCGGCTGGCGAGCTCGAATATGTCTCGAAACGAGCGATGATCGAGCACAGTATTTTCGTCGAGCGGCCAGATGGATAAGGTCAAACCGCGACAAACGGACCGACGATAATCTCGTCCCGAGAGCCATCGACGTCATTTGCTTATTCTCTTCGCGATATCGCGCTCTTCTTTCTGTAAAAAAAAATCTCTTCGCGAGATTTCGTTCAGTATTGTGCAACCGAAAATCAGAAAAAAAGTGGAGCAATAGGAGTGTCGCTACATTAATGTGAATTATGAAGTATATTATAGATTATATAAATTACAGATTATACATTATAATAAATTATAGATTATATATAATAAATTATAATATATATCTGTAATAAATTATAGATAGTATATTATAATAAATTATACATTAATGTGAATTACGAAGTATATTATACTAAATTATAATTTTACTAAATACATATGTATTTAATTAAACACAGTATATTTACTGAAATATAATTACAATCATATTTACTAAAGTATATGTACATAATTCATAGTAGAATACATTCTTTTGTCCATCTGTATTCTTTATATTTTGAAAATTGCTTTAAAAACAATCGAGTCGATCTCGTTCTTTTTTGTTCTTTTTCAAGACAATCATCTCGAAACGAATTCGAAAATACACTCTTCGTTACAAGAATGAGAATTGCCGTAATTGTTCCCTCATTCGATTATCGTTCGTTCGTCCGATGATGGATATTTCGCATCACGCGAGATAATACGAGCGAAATAATGCAAAAATTGTTTGCGTTCGACGAGGCACTTGAAACAAAAATTGATGAAAATTGGCAGAGCCCTCAATTTTAATGAAAATCTCTCTCTCTCTCTCTCTCTCTCTCTCTCTACCTCTACCACGCCGAGGGGTAAACGATTTTCGACGCAACCACGATTGTCGTATTATCGAGTACCGAAAGGAAAAACAACCGCGGCGAAGACAATGCGGCGAATCGTCGATCGCTTTATTTATTTATTTTCGTAGCGTAAACGATAAACAAACAAAAGCGCGCGCGCTTTTGTTGGGAAGCAAGAGACAACGAACAATAATACGATGGCGGGTGACTGTGATTGACATCGGTCGAAAGAACAGAGGGACAAAGTTAAAAAGATCGCGCTGTATTTTCTCTCTTTCTATTTTTTTTTTTTTTTTTTTCTAATTGACAAAGTCTACAGGAAGGAAAATTATATATAATTTTTCACTCTCGATCCCGCTTGGAAAATCACATTATACGTACGTACGTATACACGCGCGTGTTCCTTCTTTTTTTTTTTTCTTTTCTTTTTTCATGGCCGCGTTTACAATTGCAACTGTCGTTAAATCGATAATCCATCGACACAGAAACAAGTGGCAACTTTTCCGCTTCTATTATTCCACGGCTCTTTCTCTCTCTCCCCCTCCGTTCTCGTGGGTAACTTCATTCAGAAATTACGCGCTTGAATTTTTGAACGCCTGAATTGCCCGTCAATTGGTTTGAAACCGAGCTCGATTTCATAATTCCTCTCGTTTAATCTCTCTCGTTCGAATGGTGGAATTGTTGTGAAACCAGCGACGCGACTTCTGCCCATTTTCTTCCTTTCCCTGCTCGTCCCATAGACGAACACTTGTTTGTAAATAATTTCTTGGCAATCGGCGCAGATGACAGCGCAGAATATGATATCTTTTTCCTTTAATGTTGAATTCTACGTTTACAATATAGCGCGGCGGTAATGTTTTGAATATTTATGCTTAAAGAGTGGACAGAATCCAAAGAGATAACTCCATTTAAATTGTAAATCGTAATATTTGCAGAATGAATATTTGCATAATAAGTTTTGCGCGGGATTTGCATAAAACTTCAAAATCTAGATTAATTAATTCTCTATATAGAAACAATCTCCGCCTGTTTCCTCGCTGTGTCGCGCGGAACGCGGCGGTTTTCACACGGCACCGACCCGGGATTAAATACCCGCGACAAGTCGATTTATCGTGGCCACTGCGGGGGCGTTCTTTAAATCGACCCCAGACACGACCCGTCTCCGCTCTAACTGACAGGAATTTATTCTTATAAAAACAATCGTCTCGGTCCCTTCCGGATCCGCCTGCTTAAACACTCCTCCTAATCAATCCACGCGACGACTTTTTCTATTCTTTCCAACGACTGTCAAAGAGAGGAGAAAAAAAAATCTTTTTGACACGAACAACGATCGGCTATTTCACAGGCTATTTAAAATTCACAAACCTGTAGAAAATAAATTAAATACGAGCAGACACAAGTCGCGTATTTTTGGGAGCAATGATCGCAATTTTTGAAAATCGTTGAATGGCGCCGCGGCAACGTCACCGGAAGTTACAGCGTTCGTGCATCGAGTTTTAGGTTAGGCTCGAGGTTAAAAATTGCTTTTGAGATTAAGGACTGTACTTGGGATTGAAGGGTTGCTCTTTTTATTATAATTAACACTAGAACTACCAAAGTGGTCAAAATGACCAATTTTTATAATTTTACATACTTATGACAGTGTGTGTTTACATACCCGAGTGTTCTTTAATAAAATATATTAATAGAAGAATTAATTTTTATTCTTTGTCGTATTGTTAACTGTTTTCTGTATCTGTCACTTTAATTTTAACTTCTTTGCTACGAATGTTGCACTTTAGTCGGTAGTTCTAGTGTTAAGAAACTGTAAAGATGATTGAAAATCAAGTTCACAACGTCTCAAAGTCGCAAGTTTACTTCCATTCCTCGAACACATTCTGATCGCAAACGATCCTCGTTCCAATTTCCAAAATCTCGATAGCGAGTCTGTGTATTGTACCAGTGACCAGAGGTAAAATATCGGTATTTTTAGGTTACTGTACGATTACGTTTAATGAAACCGAAATGGTATGATGCTATCAAAACGATGTCAGATCGGTAGATGTATTTCGGTATAATACCGGTAAATAAAATATTAATATATTAGAAAAGAAAATGGAGACAATGATTAAATGTTTTCATAAAGCTGCCGATAGTAAATTTAATGACGCTTTTATCCTTTATTATTTCTAATACTAATTTATCGGTGTACCTCCATACAATATCAACCACGATACTCTTACTTAATTTTAAAAGATGATCGATTTTTCGACACGTTTTTCCTTTTTCTCGGTGAAAAATGACTAATTGTCGTACGTCGATAAATCGAGAGAGGAGTTAAAACAACGATTAATCGTAGAATGAAAGAATATTCCGCTAAATTACTTAAAAAAAATTACTGGAAATATGCCTAAGCGATATATTATTGAAGTTAAGGGCTACCTAACAAAATATTAATTATCGTTTATGTTAACAATTTTCAGGTTCATATATTGTAGTAGTTCTTCAAATGTCCGAATATTTTTGCCACGCCACATTTCGACATAGTTCAGTTTATTGTTTGATATTAAGAAGAGTATGTGCAGTAAATAAATAAAATTTACGTCACTGTAAACTATAATGAATGTTCTACTATACTATTAAAAAATTAATCCAAATTTACTATTATAAACAATCGTAATCCACAACAATATTTCGAATAGCACGACGTCCGAATATTAATAAGAATCACTGAGTACGTAGAAAATGAAAAATGTGTTTTCGTCAGTAAAGTGGTACCGTAAGTTGGACATCAAATACAAACCGATAAAATATGTATAAAAATACCGGTATGACCGTCTTTGGTATCGATTTTCCAAATAGCGATTCTATTACGATAATACAGGAGCAAATACCGGTACAATACCTAAACCTCACAATATATCGGTGCCAGTCTCTGAGTATAATACCTCAAAATATTTCGGTTTTCAGTCTCTGTATTGTACTCTTTCGATAACGATACTTTCCAACAACTTAATCGTATTCAACGAACGTCGTAGAGCGAAAAGAAGCGAAAGGGAGTAAGGAAGAAAGACAAGAAGACGTCAAAAAATAGAAAAAAAAAGGAAAAAAAAAATACGAGGCAAGGAAGGGAAAGAAGGCGAAAGCGGCGTGGTCGCAGGAACGTCCCGGAGGAGCGTCTTCCGATGGAATCCACTGCAGCATCGGTGAAGTAGTGGTTGCTGCGATCGTCGAGGACCGGCTGTTGTGCTTCCCCCCCACCTTGCGGTGCGCGTTCCTTACCCTTTGCGACGTAAAGGTCCTACGGGAACCATCCCCTACCGCTGACTACAGTCCCCCTGCCTCGCTCGTTTGCTCCCCTCTACGTTTGCCTCTCCTCTCTCTCTGTCTCTCTCGGCGCTATCCGCTACAGTGTCGGGAGTCATCGGCTGGCCCTGTATCCTCAGTCTGTCAGTGACCGCGCAAGCGTGCGCATCGTCCTCGTTTTCTGAAGCGTGCGTGTATGTGCCTCCTGGTGGTGATTGTGTGTCGTGTGCAACCCCTCGCGGGAGGGTATTTTCATCCCTCGATCCCACGAAGACTCGGCGAAGAAAACGGCTCGGCGTGACTGGTTGTAAATACTCGAGTCGAGTTCCCGGTGTTGAGAACGTGAAGGAGCCGAGACGTTGAGCGACGTCGCTGGCCGACGTTGACGAATTTAGCGAGTTTCTTCTCTCTTTTTTTTTTTTTTTTTGAGTTCGACGGAGAGCGAAAGTCAAAGGATTATCGATCAGGTGGATTGGAGGAACACGAGTTCGGTTCCTTTCAGCGAGTGAAAATTTTCTTCTTCTCCGACGATTTGTCGAATCTGCTGCCAGCGAAAATTAGAGAAGGAGACTAGAGACTTTCGATAGATTCTCGGAAGAAAAAGAAGAAGAAGGAAGAGAGAAATTTTTGGGCCCGCGTCGGAAGCGGAGGGTATAACAGGTGCACGAGAGGGGGAGTAATTCCACTCGCAACTTTCCACGGTGCTCGGTCGTATTTCACATGAACACGCGACGACCAAGTTTAATTTAGGATTCGCGGCGGAGTTTCGTGTGTACTTTGCCGTACGTAGACACCATCCATCGACGTCTCGTCGCCCCCGATGCGATCCCTTTGAAGTCCATACCGGAAAGGATCATTTGTGCGAAGGTCGCCGAACCTTCGAAATTCTCCGCTCTCCGTTCTCGAGGCTCGGGGAAAATTTGTAGAACTTGAACAGAGCTTGGAGACAGCGACGATCGGTGGGTGTGTGTGTGTGTGTGTGTGTGTGTGTGTGTGTGTGTGTGTGTGTGTGTGTGTGAAACGTTCGTGATTGAAAAGAGTGGTCGAGCGTGTGTGTCAAAATTTTGGACAAAGTTTCTTCGAATATTGATAATTGAAGAACGGTTTTTTGATCGAAGAGAGACTTGTCTGAGTGAAAAGTTCGAGCACGTGTCTTCTGTTTCACGAGCAACAACTTTCCAAGGAAATTTTCATTTATATCGAGAATTCGCGACGAGAAGAACAAGCAAAACAGCGGAGAAATCGCGAGTGTGAAGAGCTCAATAACGCGGCCGATATATTTGATTTTTATTTACATTTCGTTTTACCGAAATTATTAATCGACCTACGAGAGTCGGAAATTCGTGTATCGGAAACTGAACGTCCGAGTGAACAAAAAGAAAGACAAGGAAGATCGTCTGGAAATAGATGAAGAACAACTCTCTCGACCCTCGAATTCATCTATATTTAAAAGGACGAAGAAGAAAATAGAATCAATGAATGAGAAATTTCTACGCTAAGAAAGAAAAGAGTGAGATTGACGCGAGTGAAAGAAGAAAATTCTTCTGAAAGCGGAAGACGTCTTCATCGACATAACGTGGGGGCCTTATCGTCCGAAAGTTTCGCGATAAATGATCAATCTGGTGTTGCCGGTGGGCCAGGAAGTCAGCCGGCGCGAGTGCGTGTGAATGTCGTGTGGTCGATGACGAAGAAAATTGAAAATTGGCCTCAATGTGCGATCCCACGGCGTTGTTGGACCTAGTGCCGAGCGAGGGATTACTCAAACGGCCGTCCATGGACTATAACGAGTACACGTATTGCTACGGTGGTGGTCGAGGTGGGTGGTATTCTTCCCTTGGCTTCTTCGCGTCAGTTTTTCTCCGGTGCCTGAGAAACCAGTCCAGTTCCAAGCGGTTATTCGTCGAACGAAACCGTGCTGGATTTTCCCTCCAGTGCGTCTCGCGTTTCTGACGATTATCGTCGCGACGTTTTCACATTCGGAATTCAGAAAATAGAATCAATGAATGAGATAATTCATACGCTAAGAAAGGAAAGAGCGTGTTCACGCGTGTGTGTATGTGTGCGTGTACAAAGAGGAAAAAATTAAACGTGACGCGATGTCTGTCAATTTTGATCGAAGGGTCTCTAGAGTTTCGTTGATCCTACAATGTTAATGCACGTGGACGTTCATTCTCGAAGAAATCGTGGTTTATTGCCTCTTGGAATTGGTGACGTTCTTCTAATTTATAATTTCGGTAAATATCCGACTGGACGCTTGGTTAATTTTAGCAAGGCGTTTTCTGTCCGTTGTAATGGCGAAATTAACCGAACTACAAAGCGAGAGAGGAAGTGTTCCTTGTTGGGAAATTGTTTCATCTGAGAGAAACGGGGAATTTAGTATAAGTTGGAAAGATTCGAATGTTTTGTATCATGTTTCACCAGCTAGAAAGAATTTAAAACATTATATATATATATATATATATAAAACACACATCAGACATGCATCTATGAAACATTGAAATATCGCGCATCGAAGGGGATGCTAGAATTAAAAAGAAAACGAAAAGAAACGAGGAAAATTCCGAAATCACGATCACGGAATGATAATGAAAGACTCGATGGCGGTGATACACCCTCGCTATCTCTCTTGAAATCTGGCAAAAATCCTTCGGGCGAGGGTGGCGCGGCATTTCCCACTTGGGCGCATGAAAAATTTCCACGTGTCACGATTTGAAAACGTCAACGTGACAAATATGTTCGGCGTGATAATGCAGTTGCGTGACACCGCCTTGCCAATCTCTCTCTCTCTCTCTCCCTTTTTCTCTCGGGTAGCTCGGGAGATGTTTTCTTCATCCCGGTCTTTTTTCCGCGCTCGCGAGCAGCACAATCAATTTCAGTCGAAAATTCCCGCTTTATTCTCTCGTAGGCATGGCATATTTTCTCTCCTGTGAAACACCGTATACAATGGAACAGCGTGGAAAAGAGTAGAAAGAAAAAAAAAAAGAAATATGTGGAGCCACGCGCGTATCATCGATGGCGCTCCTCCTCCCCCGCGCGATACGTGAACAAAAGGAAACTCTCGTCGAGGAAGACGTCTCGCCGATCGCTGAAAATAAAGAAGTCGATTCGGTGGGAATTAATCGAATAATTGACTGACGGGAGGAAATTATAGCGATGGGATTGGATTTAACGTGGACTGGTGGAGATTTATTCGCGGTATGATAATAACATAAATATACATGTATATAAGATCGATGAAGTGATAAGAAGGAGGTGATATTGATAACATAATTGACTGACGTTGGAAAATTAACAGCGACGGAATGAAGTTTAATACGAGTATGAATGTAACAACGGTGCAGCAACGTAGTTTAATACTTTTATAATTGTATAAAAGTGTCTATAATAATATAAAAGTGATTAGTTGAAATTGAATCGTTATCATCTGGATATCTGTTCGTTTGCATAGGTTCAAAATTGCCCTAAAACGCGAGATTCGAAATGAAACGTAATGTTGTGATATTAACATTTCATATTGAGATCTCGTTTTTTTTTTTTTTTTTCTTTTTTTAAATTACACGTTGAATTTAACTCGTTAATTTCTACTTCAGGCGAGCAAATGAAATTTCTGATAACTAATGGAATTAATGCAGAACCGATCGTCAATCATTAAACAACGTTAATAAAACTTCTCCATGCATATTTAACTTGGCTCGCAGAGTTCTCTCTCGGTCGTTTCGATTTCAGACAGAGCTAAAACGAAAGAAAAAAACATTCTCGCGCGCGCCACCCTAAAATGGCGGCAACCGTTTAATCCCGCCGGCGCGGAATATGAAAATTCCTCGGTTGCGGCGCGTATATTATACTTGATAAATCACGGGGGTCGCGTCAACTGTCGCGGCGCGAGAACATCGCGTAAAATATTCAATGGCGGGCGGAATTACGGCCCGTGGGAAACGGGGAAACTTTTAAGGGACGCGTCGTCCTCGTTGCCAATTAAGAAGCGCGAGCCGAAAGAAAGAAAGAAGAAACGAGGGGGAGAGGACGTCGTTGGGTTCACCCTTTTTTGAAGAGGAGAGGCGATGGGTCTCGGGGCACTTATCACCATTTCTGGTTCATGCAAATCGCCGGCACGCTAAATATATCCCCGTGTAAATTCATGCGCCGAGGCCTCTACACCCCGTGTATCGATTACCACCGCGAAATCTCGGCTTATCCACCGATCGGCCTGCTGTTCGCGTGATAAAACCCACCCCTGTCGACCCCTCTCCACCTCCTCCACCCTCTTTCTCTCCTCTGTGCTCTGTATTTCGAGCGACGATCGATTTTTCCCGGTGCAACACTTTCGCTGGTTTTAGAAACAAGCAGCAGGACTTCCGACTCTGCCCTCCCCCCTGCTTCTTCTTCAAGGAAGTTTCATCTTTTCGGATCTGCTCTTCTTCTTCTTCTTCTTTTTTTTTTTTTTTCTCTTGCAACACTTTCTCTGTGAAAGAGGTGAAATTACACGAAACTATTTAGAGGCTGAGTGTGTATTTTAATAACGAAATATACCATCTATATTTATTGTGAATAGTCGTTCATAGAGAAGGCACAAATGAATTTTTCTTTGCGCAGGAGCGAGTATCGCCGATTACGTTAAAGATTGTTTACGCAGTGAAATTGAAACGTTTGAAACCGTACATTTTGACACAAACTGCGTGGAATATCACGGAAAAATCAAAATCAAACACCAAATTATAGTATGTTCAATTTAACCACGATTTTTCTGCATGTATTCGATCGATTGATTCTTCGGGGAAGAAGAATATATTTTTATTTCCTCTGGAAACAATTCCTTGAATTGCGAGTATCACTAATTATTAGAAGGAAAAAGCTTTGACGTGCTTTTGTTTTTAAATTTCTTTCATCTGCGTCGAACAGCACGTGACAATGGCTAACGCGATTTTCCGGATAAGTGGAGTTGAGCTAAACTCCGGGCGCGGGCTTTTATTTGAATTAATTTATCGCAACACACGATATTTTGCAACGTTAAACGCAATAATGACTGTTCCTGACGTCTTTTGTACAGTTTGATTAATCACTTCTTGTTTCCCGCCTGAAATTATGTGACTATGCATTTTGTACCTGCGAAACTATAAAATACCCTCGCTGAACTTTCTCATTTCACCTGACGTAGAAACTATTACGTACACGATCTCTCTCTCTCTCTCTCTCTATCTCTCTGTGCTGTACACTTGCCTATAAGTTACTAGAAATTTGCCGTGCAGTTCTGAACAAAGGTGGGGGGGAGAGGCGCGTTTATTAAGATACAGACCCTTAAAGGGACAGTGTTATTTATATTTCCCTCGGCGATCTTCTTTTCACGCTGTTAACCGAAGCACGATGTAAATTGAGTTCCCGTAGTTTCTCTCGGCGAGAAATTGCGCGCGGTGGAGTTCTTAGAGAGAATAAAAAAAATAGTGAGACGTGGACGTGTAGTACATTTCTTTGCTGTTCCAAAGTTTCTCTCTTTGTCAATCATTAGACCAAAAATCCCTCCCCGTAGAAATTCCCCCGACGAGCAAAGTTTCGGTAAACGGCGGGAGGAGAGGGGCAAAGATCGATCCGACCGTGATCTACTTTGAACGAGAACTGATATCCCAAATTAATATCCCTTTAAAACGCCGCGCCGTAACTTGCCCAGCTGGTGTTTGATATCCCGCCGACCCCGGCCCCGAAGGCAATTTGATTCGCTCTCAATTGGCAGCGATCGTTGGCAGCTGCACTTGAAACGTCCGCGTCAAAGTGTCAATAGACTAGGAGGCCAGCAACAGCGGTAGCAGCCGGTAGCGATAGTTACAAGCCTCGACCACGCGACGCCTTATTATGTAAATTTAATGACGTCGCGGGCACGGTGCACGCGCGCATGCGTGTCCGTACACCGACCTTAGGCTTCCGCCGTGGAGGGAACACCTGATAAACCGCGCGACATTTCGAAATGTCAAGCCTGATAAAACGCAGCGGCGACCTCCGACCATCGCGGTCCTCTCACGAAGACGCACCGCCGCGAACTTTCTTCCCGATCGTTGGTACGATTGCGAGGAGAATAACGCGATATGCTAATTTGTGCTGTTTCACTTTGCGGGAAGCTCGGCTGAAATTTAGTGTTTTCTTTTCTTTTTTTTTTTTTTAACTAGTAAGTTAAGCGTCCCTCTCAAGAAACACACATATTCAAATTTTATGAATAATTTCAAGGAATGTATATTTTAAAATTTTTCACTCGAAACTTTGAATATTTTAAAATTTTTATTCAAGAAACGTATATTTTTGAATTTTAGAATAGAATTTCGGGCATACTGCGAATAAGAGAAGAATTTAGTTACATAATTGAAGTAGTTGTTTTGAGATTGTTGACGTTTGATGTTTCTTAGAATTCTGTTCTTTTTAAACCAGTAAATAATCATTAAGCGTCTCTTAATTTCAAGAAACGTATATTTTAAAATTAAACTTTAAAATTTTCAACTCAAAACTTTGAATATTTTAAAATTTTTATTCAAGAAACGTATATTTTTAAATTTTAGAATATTTTAGGCAAACTGCGAGTGACAGAAAATTTAGTTACATGATTGAAGTAGTTGTTTCGAAACGTTTGATGTTTCTTAGAATTCTGTTCTTCTTAAACCAGTAAATAATCATTAAGCGTCTCTTAATTTCAAGAACCATATATTTTAAAATTTTGGTGTGTGAGTAAGAGAGTTAATTGAGGTAATTGTTTCGAGACGTATCTTTTAATGTATCTTTTTTTTTAGAATCGCGAAAAGTATGTTGGAACCAAGCTTGTTGAAGATCTCTTCTTGG